ACGCCCTCTCCAGCTACTGGGTATGATTTTACATTTATTCGGAATATTAGTGGCGATAAGGCCTACGCAATGAATTTCATGTACTAGCCGATCACCGTTTTTATCCTCCCAAACGAGTCTGGTGCCAATTTGCCGTTCCTGGAAGGTAGAAGGCCTGGATGGAAGTCTATCCAAGATTTGAGCTTCGGCGCTAGCCTGATGAGCGGGCCAATCGCTTCGACACCGTCTTCTCCTTCTTCTTCTTTGACTGAAGCCAGTACATGCCAGGTATAGTCTTGTTCGTTGCGAGTGCTGGGGTCTGTTGGAAGGAAAGGGGCTGGGTTTGGCGTGGCGCCATTCCACTTTTCGCCAACTGTTGTCTTTTGCTCACTTCAACAACTGGTGGAGAACAAGTTGGCGCTGCGCCAAGCCCAGCACACACCACTCCTGAAATTCGCGAACAAGACTATAGGTTTTTCGTATTAACTCAAGGATTTTGAACACTTTTGAGCTCATTCCTTGAAACTCGAGCCCACGTGCGACTTGAGTGAGCCCGGCTGTGATATGCGGCGTGCTCAGAAGCGATTCGCATCATCTTTGCGAGTCTCAGGTTTCAAGACATAATAACTCTTTAATCTCTAGTTAAGCCTGGAGGTGTCAACATCCTAGAAGTTTACCTCAAATGCACCTGGCTAGCTAACAGTTTGCACTCTAAGTCGCTTATGAGCTCGTACTTGTCGCCCTTGCTGGCAGGAAATTGCCAGAGGCTTGTGTCTCGCCCCCTCCTCGCTCCTCCCCTTCTCATTCATCGGGTCCGCCCTTTTACTATGACTGCGTTCGATAGTGGTGCATCATAGCAGCTGCCACACTTTTTGCGCCTCACGGAATGCTTTCGGGTACTCAAACCCAACACGATGAGCATTACCTCATTCTGCATTATTTATTTACCGAATAGAAAGTTGCTTTCTTCCTTTTTCCTTTATTTTCTTTCTTTCTTTTCTTTTTATTTCTTTTCCAAGAATTTCAAAGACAGTTAGTTGAATTTTTGTTTTCGTATCCATTTCTCATTTCGGTATCGGTTTTGTCCCAGATGTGATCCTTTACAAATCTCGCAGCTATGTGGTACAAAAAGCATTCTATTATCTCTCCTAAAAATAATTTTAACACTTTTGAACCACCTCGGAAGTCCCTAGCGGGTGACTGCTTCCTTCTTTCCCGGCAGTTGGCCTAGCACTTATTCATGGTCAAGGTGGAGGGGGGGGGAGGTAAGAGTGGGTTTGGCGCGAGGTCAGCCCTTCCTTTTTCCTCCTGCAAGTGAGAGAAATGTATCATGTCGTTCGTAGCGGTCGTTTTTCACCAGTTGTTGTCGCTTACTCGCTTCAACAACTGGTGGAGAACGGGCTGGCGCAGCGCCAAACCGAGCCTCATTGGCACGCCTCATGATCCGCAGCGATCAAGACTGTAATTGCGTTTGAAACTTAAAAACAGCTGCTTTTCGCTGCACTTCACCCGGCTCGATAAATGTTCCCGTAGGAAGTCGGAGTTATAAGCTAAAGGGATACCTCTTCTTGTCCTACACTCGTTGGCAATTCCAGCAGGACACATCGTTGTGGGGATTACCCAACAGGGGGGTCATATGTGGTCGCTGGGGGAGGGCGGGGGTCGTATTTGGAATGAGAAAAGTTTTTAACAGTTGATTTTTCTTGTTTCAGCGACGTCGTAAAAGGGGGGGGGTGTTTGGTTGTTGTCGGGAGGGGGATCGTATTACTTCCCTTCCGTTCTTTTGAGAGAGATTGCTCACTTCTCGTGGTTTCTCCTTTTTTATGTGTACTATATGCCCCCCCCCTCCGCTCGCGCTCAGCAGCAAATTTCTGGGTAAAAGTAGGAAAATCTTCGATAATCCCGGAAAAAGTGGTAAGAATTTGGGGAAATCCAGGAACTGGTATAGGGGAGGGGTCGTATTTTTCTTGCGGTTTTTCCTGTTTTACATGTGCTATATCCCCTCTCCCTCCCGCTTGACAGCTGTATGAGGAGGGACCGAATGGGGGGGGGTCCTACCAGCCCTCTCTAAAAAGGGGGGTCGCACGGGCTCGGGCAAAATCCCCAGCCGATGGTGTGCCTGGTTTCCAGGTAGGGTCGAGCATATGCGGTGAAATACGCTACAACGGGGATCACATTGACCCGTTCGCTAATTCGTGATGGACGGTTCGATTTCTCCATCGCAGCTAGGGCTCATATTACCGCGTGCCCTGTCATGGTCACCCTGCTAGTCGGTGTTTGGCCCTATGCAAGGAACTATGATAGCCAGAAGGGAATTTATGAAACGTTTTCCCCCAGCCTCTTTCGACTAATCGGCTTCAGAGACGGCCGTGCTGAAATGTCCCAGCTGCTTCTAGCTGCACTAAGGCATCCGAGAAGATCTGACAACGCGATTCCTTGCAAAGACACATTTCTTATTTTGAACGAACAAATAGGTCTTTGATATTCTGGGTTTCTTAGAACATTCTACAGAATATTCTGTTTTGAGATTCACTTCAAGAAAGTGCCTGACAAACAACTGTGCTGATCACGATTCTGCTCTAAAAGGTTGTTTTTGTGGAAACTTCCTCTGTTTTCTGTAGTCTTGTTCACCTTAATCAGTGTCTCCAATTCTACTGAAAATGCTGGCGCAGGGGGCAGTTCGGCAACGGGGGGGGGGGGCATTTTGCACTTTTGCTACTTCCCATCAACGTGTCCACCCATCTAGACAGCCTCTTCTCGAGTTGACAGGTTTTACCATGATGGCTTGCTCCAGCTTCACAAGAGTTCACAGGTTTCACCAGAGTGAGACTTGTAAACCGGAACTAGTGAAGCAACGAAAGTGCAAAATGCCCCCCCCCCCTCCGTCGTCAGGGCGAGTTCGACTTGGAGAGTGCAACAAATGGAAAGCCTGCGGGGCCACCTTGGAGACTTTGTGAAAACCTGTACATTCTTCGAACCAAAGTGGCTCACTTATACTATCCCGCAGCCTTACAAAAGTTCGCAGGACTGTACAAAACTAGATATCTTATTCAGCATAAACTAACGAAAGTGTGGGATGCCTCTCCCAAGTCGAACAATGCCAAATGTTCACTTTTGATGAGCTATTTCTGACAGCAGTTCAATTTGCAACGCCGAATATTCAATTTGCAACTTTTCTTAACTTTCAACTTTTTCGAATTTCTGAGTTTATTGAGGTTAAAGTGGGTTTGCTGTGTAATGTTCTGTTTTGAGTTCTCAAGGTTTTTCCAAACTTTGAGCATATTTTGAACACTTGCAAGGCCTTACGAGAGGATCAGAGGGAAACACCTTGGCCTCTATCAACTCCCTTTCGGAAGTGCCACGTATTTTACTTTCTTGTAAAGTCGTGAGGACATTTTAGATGCAGTGTGGCTTATACAATGATCTGTGGGAGCCAGCCAATGTAAAAGTCAGTATTTTCATTCTTCTATGCGGGTCTCGTAGCAATTTGTAGGCCCCGGAGGGTAAAAGCTTGGCTAGAGCGGATCAGGACAGTAGCCCGCTCTCCCCACCCTGCACGTGGTAAGGGTAGCACTTGCCACCACCCCCATCCGTCTCCTAACGGAACGTACTCCGATACTGTCCTATTCAAAACGATATATCATCTGGCGTGGTCGGGCGGAGATAAACTTTCAGGTTAAAGGCATTACACTATGAGGTGGTGTAGTGGACACAGTGTCGCACTCACCACTCGTGTAGCGTTCTGGGTTCAAATTTGCGCGGTCGCGACTTCCCATCCAGGCTAACAAGCTTTCTACCCCTGCGGACGACGGTAGATTGCGTACCAATTGTCTGCGGAGGATAAGAACAAATGACTTGTACATCGGCGGCCCCCGGAACCGCATTTTAATAGGCCACATGTATAGGCCACATCGCATTCAAGTAAGCCACTACGATTCTGAATGGAAGTAGAATGCGTGCCGCATCCCACAAAGGGATTGATTAACGGCGAAGACTTTATCTTTTATCTCTCATCCGCGATGAAGCTAAGCTATGTAAGCTCTTCAAATTGGTTTGATTGATCTGAACCTGCATCATTCAAACCGTTTTTTTCGCTTTTTCTTCAGTTACTCAGTTACTTAGTACCTTATTGTTTCGTACCTTGAGCCTCCCTATAGCATCTGTGATCTTGCCCTGCCTTTAAACTGGGAAGATGTCGGCTTCGCTGCTGATGCTACGCTGTGAGTGTGCCCCGAACAATTCGCAGAGCAAAGGGGAGGAGGCAAAAAACTGTTGCACCACTTATGTTGTTACTTCTCTCACTTGCTCAGGCTGAGCCTTGTTTTCGTTCACTTTTTCATTCGATGTCCCGTTTCCTTGGTCATCTTTCCTGTTCCTCGGGGCTTTCTCCCCTATGCTACAATGTTCGCTTTTTCGCAGTTTCATTCAATGTGCGGAGCGTCATGTAGGGTGTTTTCGACGATTTTGTCCGTTTTTCTTCTCTGCTGTCTCAATGAGAATCCAGGATTCAGAATAGGTCTTATTTTATTTGAAATGCGGAATGCGCCTCATTTCATCCCCTTTATGGGCGGATACTCAAGAGATGCTCTCTTACAGCTGCCTTCGACTTGCTGCCTATTCTGAATTTTCCTCCACGCTTGCCAAGCCTATAGAGTTATGCCCCACTATCATACTTGAGTTGGCCTTGAACTTATTTATTACTGTAGCGTTCAGGAATGGGTCAGATGGAACCATCGACAAACTCCGACTCGACCTCAACGGCAGTGAAACTCAAGCAACAAATATCGCTATTCAATGGATGTACGATCATTGTTGGGGGTCATCGTTGGTTCCGGAATTCTTCGTCCAGTCCTAAAGTGTAGGTCGCTACCTAGGACTGGAATCAAATTTTATCCTTTTAATAACTTTTATCGGAACTATGTTCCCTGTTCACGATGGGAAGCAACACTTTTATAAATACAACTCGTTTTTACAAAGGGGTTTCAGCAATAAAACTGCTGGGGGATCGCTGTTATTACTATTCATTTCAGGTGTACTTCAAGAAGGTGGAAGCGTCGGAGTATCCCTGGTTGTGTGGGTGCTATCCGGGATATTCTCGATGTTGGGAGCGTTGTGCTATGCCGAACTTGGCACTACCATACCAAAAAGTGGTGGAGACTATGCCTACATTTTCGAGGTGAGTGAGCGTCACCTTTGCATTTCTCTTTGTTTATTTACCTATTTATGAGCGCACCGGATAACAATAATAGGGTTTGAAATAAATAAGCTGAATCTAGGTAGTACTGTAGTTTCCTCTCCTCCGTTATGTATGATGTTCCTGCCTCTATAATGGTAACTTTTCAATCCATCTAGTAAATAGAGGGCTCAGAAGTGTATAGTGCTCTCCCACCTATTTTCCTCAACCTCGATTATGCACGAATTTATCCCCTCTTCTGGGATCTTTTAATCCCTTTTACGACATGCATGCCATATCGTACTAGACAGCAAGTTCACATACAGTTTGTTCACTGGTCTGCCAGAGAGCAGGGAAGGCGCAGCGCTAGCACGTTTTCCACCATTTAGTAGTTTGCCCTTTTCAGTAAGTGCTGGTAAACGGGGTGGCGCCTCGCCACTTAGCCCTTCATTGTCTGTAGCAAACTGAGACTGTCCTTTTCGGTCTAAACGAGTGAAATAACTGAGGCCAACAGGATCAAATGACGTAAAAACTGTCTTTTTTCAGGCTTTTGGCCCAATGCCAGCATTTCTGTTCCTCTGGATGGCACTAATTATCATCAATCCAACGTCAAATGCCATCATTGCTCTCACTTTTGCCAACTACGCGCTGAAGCCGTTCTTCCCCAATTGCGCAGTGCCTCCACTTGCTGTGGATTTGCTGGCCGCGTCTACAATAGGTGAGCTTATTATTTACAAAACTTTGATTACCGCCTCTGTTTTCAATCCTGTTAGTGTTGCTCTTCCCTTCTTTTGAAAAGGGGAGAAATTCCACTTCGGAAAACACGCTGGTGCGTCCACTCGTTTCTTTCCTCGTAAAAGCTAAACCGCTGTAAATTACCGTAGGAGATGCTACCATAGGTAATTCTACTAGCTTTCCAATTTTCCCTATCTTTCTGTTTTGTAAAAATCTCATAGTTTTACTGTGCATTCGTTGTGCTCTAACCAGTTGCCACAGCGCTCGTTTCCCACCAGAGATATTCAAAGTGGATTAAATTATTTATCTTTGACGTCACTGGTCAAACATAAGGGTATTGATTCAAGCGGAGCTGCTGACGGCATTCCCAGATTTTAGTTTCGGCAACAAATAAGAACCTGACGTTCACAGATCACTAATTT